GCTTGACTCAGTGTTTTAAATCACTTTTATCTCACTGTTTTCAGGTATGGGTTAATGGTGTGTTTGTGGATAGGAAATCTGTCCTGGAAATATCTGGTTCTACTATAACCAAGTTTATATGGAAGTAGCCCAAATTCAGCTTTGGTTGTGCAAAGATTCCCTGTTTCAAACTCTTGGCCTAAACCAGCAGACCTGAAATTACGATTGCAGTTGATCTCCATGAGACTTGAGTTTATTCGCTCTGTACATCATCTGGTGATGGCCAATCAAGAGGGTGGGCGGGGCTTTGGTGTGCCTTCCCATGCACTGATGACTTCCAGTTCTAATTTCTGATGGTTGGGCAGTGCGTGCACATACTCCATAGTCCTGAAAGGCCCTTGCAGGGTGAAATGCATACATTCGTTGTACAATCTGAAACACCACACTTTTTGTAACTGCTTTCCTGGGAGCCTAAAAACAGGGAGGAGTGTGGGCTTCCTCGGCCTGTGGGAGGCCTTGTTCAGGTGTTTTCCTGTTTCTTGTAGGAGAGGATGAACCAGGTGGAACCTTGGTTTCCTGGTAGCAGCAGGGCTTGTTTTCCAGGACCTCTGTATGAAAATGGGGCACTGGAGTTCTTCAGAGTGGAGATGGTAGGAGTTGGTGTTTTAGGGTATTCACTTGTGCTCCTGCATGTGTGGATTGTCCTTGGCAGCTCTTGTTGGAAGAAGAAGTCCAAGGAGCCAGTTTAAGTGCCAGAGGAGTCAGTGAGCCCATGACTGTTTTCAAAAACAGATGCTAACTCATTGCCGTTAAAAGGATACACAGCTGGGTGTGGCGGCACAGATTTGTAATATGGGCGCTTTGGGAGGCTGAGGCAGGAGGATTAGCAAAGTTACAGCTCAGTCTGGGCCCAGTGGGCACAACTTAACAAGACCTTGTCTCAGAAAAATTAGAAAGGACTGGATATATAAATCAGTGTGAAGGCCTGGCTGCAGTTCCCAATATTGGAACAAAAGAAAGAGATATCTAATAATTGAGTTTAAAACAATTCTTTTGGACAAAACTATTTACAGATTATATCCTGCAAGTGAACAAAGTAGTGGATGTGAATGTTTAGATACTTTGTGTAAATTTGTGGCAGCACCTGTATGTGGGAATCCTGTTGTATTGAAAAATCTTGGCAAAGAAAGCTGAAAGCGTGAGCATCAGATCATGTGTCTAATAGGTATTCTAACAGCTTACAATGTAATGGACTCCGTTATAGGATGTTACATTTATATTTAATGTTTGTATTGATGGGAGAGATGTGAAATGATTGGGATTGCTCTCCGTGCTGTATCCTGATGCAGGAAAATATCTTTCACAGTCAGTGATACAGGCCAGGTGACGTAATCTTTTAATAGCATTATTCTTTTTTTTTTTTTTTTTTTAGTACCAGGGATCAAAATCACAACCTTGCACTTGCCAAGCAGGCGCTCACCCACTGAGCTAAAAATCCCTGGCCCGAATATCATTATTCTTAAATGAATAATAGGTATTTCGTTAAGCTAAGATAAAAAGACGCAGAGTACTTGTCTGAAGGTACCAATAACTACATCTTAAAGCTATAGTGTAGAAACTGTTGAAGGGGAGAGAGTAGGGGTTTTGTGGATTCACACCCTTTTGTGTGTTGATTTGCTTGTTAAAGTTGTTAAATGACTTGATTTGAGATATTTTCAAATTAGCAAAATTAGGGTCTGCCCCCTCCCTGAAACATTTTCTGTCAGATTTCGTTGTGCCAGTGGTCTTGGAAAAGAGTTGTATTCCTTTACATCGCTCAGAGTTGTTTGTGCTTTTGTTACTCTATTCTGTGAAGAGACATTAACCATCACTGAATTCACAAAGCAGTCTATTAGTAGAAAGAGTCTTGTAAAGTCTTGTATTTTTCACCTGGCTTTAGGAAACATCATTTTACATAATTCAAGAGCAATTTTGTTTTTTTGATTGTACCACATTTTTATAGTAATCAGGAGTAGATCAATAAAATAACCACTTCGATTCTAAAAAACGAAAAGACATGAGATTTGGCGTACATAGTTGGTACGGATAATTCGTTTGTCTCCATGATAGGACGGTACTGAAGAAGTCGAACTGCTTGTTCTTTGGATTGTTTAGTCCATATACTTTCATTTTGTTTTAAGTTCAAGTTTAGTGTGGAATAATACTTTAATTTACTACTTTCATTCTACTTGCAGTATGTGCAGCACACAGATTATTCTCTTACCTGAAGCTTTGCTTTTATTTTTAGTTATGTGCAGTTGCAGTTTTGTATAATAAAATAGGAGAGCATGAAACTGATGAATGAAATTTACTTGGGAAGCATGGCCGATCCATCGGGAGAGAGTACCAGGATTCAAAATGAATCTTCCTTACAGTGCTACTGAGAAACTGAAATTTGGTTAAATGGATAAAAGTTGGTATAGTTGCAGCCAGGCTGGCACATTTTTATGAGACAGGGTCTTGCTGGTTGCAGGTTCATGCTGACCTCCAACTTATGATTCTGTTCCATTCTCCCAAGTGTAGGATCATAGGCTTGCGCTCCCCTGCCTCGTTGAGACATTATCCAACCTTTTTCTTCTCTGGGGCACAGATTTTGAGAATAAATCGACAGTGTATTTCAGTATACCTGGCAAAGCATAAAAGAGTTGAATACAAAGTTCTTTCATTTATAAGAGGGTATAATCTGGAGACACAAACTGCTGTATCTTTTACCTGTTGAGATTAGGGCTGTGTGTGTGTGTGAGAGAGAGAGAGAGAGAGAGAGAGAGAGAGAGAGAGAGAGACAGAGACATATATACAAAAGTACCGTGTCTGTTGAGCCAGAGCTAGCAGTCCTGGATTCTGGTTTGGGTGTTACTTTTTAGCTGGGTGACACCTGCTGATTGCGGATCATGTCTAGAAGAGTGTCGTATCAGTGAGTTATTGTAGAGTTCACTCTGTAAGTTAGAGAATGCTTTGTAAGGAAGTTTATAAACAGAAAGACACAGGACAAAGAAACCAAACCCTCCCTTGATGTCCTTCATCTTCTTAATCCTTCCCTGCGTTCTTTTTGGTGTTTAACATTACTCAGAGTTCAGCAGGGTACACGGGGCACATACCTGCTGGGTGATGGAGGAGAGTGCAGGATGGACTGTTTACAGAGGTGTGGGCAGACAGGCAGTTCCGGGTGGAGAGGGCCAGGCCAAAGGAGAAGCAGTTGCTGGCACTTGGAGAGGGTGGCCCTGTGGAGGTGCTCCCAGGTGGTGCTGTGGCCCTGGGAAAGGATCACAGGTGTCTGCACTGCGCTGCAGGAAGGGAGCTGAGAGAGTACACGTCCTCCCTCTTTCTCCTGCTTTTTGGCCCCTGAGGACAGAAAGCTGTTGATGAAACTCAGACCCAACCAAGATGAGAAGATAGAGAAGGATCCCTGGGTGTGTTTTTGACAACAGGGAAATATTTTCCTTTGAAGTTGGTTTTTGCTTTCTTGCTTCTTCCCTCTTACTTCCTCTACATTCTTTTGTTGGCTGTGTATTCTGCTCTCACTTGGCATCTGCGTCTTGTGATGCCCGGCATGTGGACCACATACAGGGGCTTGCTGACTAGAGACAAATGCCAAGCATGGGCTCTGTCTCTGTGTAGCCCATGCGTTGGATGCCTGGTGGGCTTACGATACAACCCGAAATGTCTAAACTGCCTTAGCAACCTGATCCTCCAGTCATAATGCACCAAGTCTACTTTTGTACCTCCCTGCTTGCCTTCCCCTTGAAAGCCCTAGGACCCCGCCAGCCAGGACTGCTCTGAGGAGGAATCCCAGTCAAGCCTACCAGTATACTAAACTGCCTCCTGAACCTCCTCGGTGTGGGGTCTGCTTGTGTCTGGTCTGTTTTCCTCAGCAGTATTACTAGATTTTAGTTGTTAACTTCCTCTTTTCCCTTTATTCCCTTTTTCCTTCGTTTGCTTAATCCCGCCCCCTCGCTGAGAAGTAAGGGCATTAAAGACTGAGTCCTGTTTTATTTTGTGCTTTCATGTGCAATATCCAGATTGTGATTTTTTTTCACATTGTTGAGGGAAGCAGAGATATTTACTGTCTTGAAAATCTCAAGCAAATTTGAAGGGAATGAAGACATATTTTAAAAGGCATTTCTATTTAGAAAAATGAGGTCTTTAGATTCATAATAATTACTTTTGTTGTAGGATGTAAGTATATTGAGAGTAAGACTTAACATTTTCATCTTTGTTTCTTCTGATAGGCGTGCGTACTGTTAGGGATTACCTTCAGGGATTGTACTGAAGGTGGGAAAGGTGAGATGGCGTAGAAGAAAATAAATCCAGTAATAATACATTTCACTGCCACATTATCACGGATGGGCACGGGGAAGAGGGCCAGAATTAAGTGATTCCTTGGAATAATGTAGCTAGCTAGCGTGCCCCCCCATAAGTACGGGGGCGGGTACTTGCTGCGTAGAGAATGACTCTTAGTTGTATCTTACCAGGGTAAGGTACTTTCCCTACATTCCATTCCAGAATTAGAGAAAATACAGAGACATTTGGAGGCCTTTTATTTCTTTGAATTAACATCTGTGCAAGTGTATTGTCCTTCCCCCAACCATAACCTGATTAAAACCAGTGTCCTGGAAGCAATTCAGGTATTTTCTAGGGAAGAGTTTTATCATGTTTTCATTACATTAAAAATGCTGTTGTCATTGTTTCCTTATACATGGTTAAAAATCCCTATCGAAATTCCATGCTGAGTGACTTCCAGGGATGACAGGGTTTTGTTTTGGGGGGTGTGTGTGGTCTTTTTACTTTTTGAACTCATCAGCCATGGAAATGGCTCTAGGCTAGTCTTGCCAAGTGTGCATCACAGATAGCATTTCCACTTGTAGTGATTCTTTCTCTAGGGGCCTTTTGGAGTCATCACATCCAAGCCACTGTGTCTAGTAGCATTGTCATCTAACATGAAGATGTTGTAGTTTAATGTGCTGCTGTTATCTGTATTTCAGGGACAGGAGAGAGTGGCAAGAGTACATTTATCAAGCAGATGAGAATCATCCATGGGTCAGGATACTCTGACGAAGACAAAAGGGGCTTCACCAAACTGGTATATCAGAACATCTTCACGGCCATGCAGGCCATGATCAGAGCCATGGACACACTCAAGATCCCATACAAGTATGAGCACAACAAGGTAGGTGGAGCTCCTCGTTGCACGAAGTGATTTGGCAATATGAATGGTCTTTCAACACGTCTGTAAGGTGTGGTCTGTCATTTCTCATTTTTATTCTGAGACTGTTAATGAGTACTTGAGTGTTTATAAATGTCTCTTAAATCTTCAAAAATTGGGGATTGTGTTGTAGCAATAGCAGTGAAGGACATTTGGATATTTGGCATGAGGTGTATAGAGGCTTAGACTTTGGAGGGGCACACTGTATAGAGGAAGTGATTCTGAATGCAGGAATTCAAAGATGTAGTGGCCTTGATTCAACCTCCTGCTGTTTGTGTTTCAAAAAAAAAAAAAAAAAGGAAAGTAGCTCAAGATGATTGTGTCTGGGTAAATTTTGTAACTTTCTTTCAGTAATGCCACTGACTTCATTTTATTTCAAAATAAGCTCATCTGTCAACTTCCAATAACCTTTTCACACATTCCCCTGGAAACTTTACAATCTTTGGAGAAAGGATGAGGGCAAAATAAAATGTCAGCTTTTTTGACTTCTGATACCTAGCATCACATAGTTGAAATAGAAAACTCCTTGCTCTTGGGTAAAAACAAATGCTGTAACTGCTCTTTAAAATACTGCTGGATAGCAGACAGGGCTGCGTGATGTACTTGAGGGTGGCTTTGCACTGGAGTTGGTGCTGCATCTGCTCTGCAGAAGGCTTGGAGGAGGGACCGGAGCTGACAGCCCTGGGCCTGATCGCCCAGCAGAGGCCGCCAACGTGAGAAAAGGGAAATCTGGACCCTGTGGAAACGTCTTTCTACTGTTTGCTGTTCTTCCCCTAATCAGTCACTCTCCCTTCCTTTGTGTATGTTTTTCAGAAGTACAGTTTTTAGCGGATTTAGAGTAAGGCCCTCTGTACCTATACAGTAATTTAGAGCCCCAGTAAGAATTTTCATTCTGTCAGAACTTTTGGGAAATCCACCGTGAGGCACATTCCCGTTTACCACTGTCAGTAGAGAACAGCAAGTTGGCAAGCCAACTGTGGCTTGTAAACTGAAATTGAGTTCACAAAAATGAATCCAGAGATAAAATAAGGCAATTCTGTGTCTCTTCATCTCTGTTACTAACCAAAGATTTCTAAGTATATCAAGTCATCTTAAAACCATGCATTTATTTTATTTTTGGGGTGAGTCTTGGAAATTAACTGACAGTTTCTCTCTCCTTTCTTTTCTTGTTTGTTTGTTACCATGAATGAACTTAGGACCTTGTGCTTGCCAGGCAGGCACTGTGCCCTGAGCTGTATCTTTGGCCCATTAATTTTATTGTTATGATCATACTAGCTAGAGCCTGGTTAGGGGCACTGCCCGTTTGAATGCACCCACCCGGGATCTTAGAGAAACACAGGTTTCATTTTACTTAGGTCATGAGCAGTCCCCAGAGGACACACCAGCAAGTCACAAGCCTGCCATTCCCCACCCCACCTCACCCCACCCCACAAAAACCACAAGACACACCCTCTTCTGCCCACAGAGAGGTCCCTCCCAGGGTGTGCAGTAAACCTGCTTGGACTTTGTTTGCTTTCCTTTTTTCCAGTTCAACAGTTGTTTTCCAATGGCAGTTAATCACCTCGGCAAGTATTCTGCCTGCTTTCACATTTAAGAGTCGGGCAGGTTTGTGAGCCCCGGAACAGGATAACTGAACCAGAGAAAGCTTTATAGATTTTAGCACCCTAAAATTGTAAAGGGTTAGGTTTTGTTCTGGTTTTTTCTCTACACTAAGAAATCTCGATGTAATAGTTATCTGAAATACATGGCCTGCTTATTTCTTTCTAGTAGTGAGAATATACTGTTGAAGGGTGCTGTTTGTTCTGCCAGTGACTCTCCTGGGCAACAGCTAGTTGATCACGTGATGACCTGGTGAGTTCCGAATGCGTCCATCTGTGCTGTGTATCTGTATTGTGTGTGTACACACGAGTGCTTGTCAGTGTATGTGCTATCACTTAGTACAGCTAACCTAAACTTTACCAAAGAATGTATTATTTAGAAGCCCCAGAAGAATACATCAGGGTCTTGCCCTGATACTAGATTATATAGGAAAATCATGAATCAGGTCATCATGTAGGTGCAGAGGATAGGGCAAGATTTATAACATACAGAATATTTCACACTGTTATTTGAGACCTTTATGTCAATACTAGACTTACTGTTGAATACTGTGGTTATAAATTGACTTTTTTGGGCTATCATTATTATCCTGTGAAATCTTCCCATGTCTTTTGGGCACTTAACAGACTAATACTGTGACATTAGTGTGTAATGAGCTTTGAATTTCTCGTATTTAATCTCCTTTAATTAATAAAGTGCTTTTGCATTTATCCCATTTTCAGTGTGGCATACACCTGTATTCTGAAGCATCTCTTGTCTGTCCGCTTTCACATCCATTCACTTCCTACCCTCCAGCCACACCTTGCGTTTGTTAATGTATGTTAAGAAAATATGTCGTGTGCTTTCTATTCAAGTCAGCTGCCACTTACTCTAAGAGTTTCTGTTTCCGCTACATAATGCTAGGGAATCACACCTCATTTTACATAGCCTATATCCTATAGCAGGGTGTTTGTATGTAATTGTCCAGCTTGTACTAATTACAGTTATTTAGGATTGATCTTACTTTCATGACCAGATTCTAAGCTTCTTGGAAGTAAATCTCATATTAATTCAATCTTTGTATTCTTCACTTTGCCTGGCATTCTGTCTTGTATATATAGAAGTTGCTCAAGAAATAGATGTTTTATGAATAGGCAAAATTTGTATGCTTAAACAGCTGAAACATCCTTCTAAAGTTGATGAAATGATTCTTCAAATCAGTAAACAGCGGTTGAAGTCTCTTTCTTTGTGTAAGGGAATAAATGGTGCGGAGAAATTTAATTAGGGCTGTCCAGAAATGTACAATCTAGAAAAGGGAAAAGACATACCAGGGGGCACTTTGGGAAGAACGGATGGCTGAACCCGGTGTTGGAAGGAGGAATTGTGCATGCAGTATTGAAGTGGACCAGTTTAACCAGAGCAGAATTCTTATAAAAGCAGACTGGAAAATGGTTCAGTGATGTCCTTGTGAGAAGTGTCAAAGTTAAGCTGAATTTGAATTTTTATTTTCTTGTTTATGATCTTTAATTTAATGATAATATTTTGCATTTTGGTATTCTTATAGAAGTTTTTAAGTAAACCTGTGTGCTGTATATTTTATTAATTATGTAAAACATCAGTGGATATGCTATGAGTTAGATTAGCAGTTACTTGGAAGTGCATTCTGGTTTATATATAAGCATATAATTAGGCATAAGCAACCATTTTGGTTTTTAAAAAATCTTGTCTGCACCTGCGATCATATTGGCCACAATCTATAGGTGTAGCATAAACAAAAATGTATGCTTTCTTTATTGTCCAACATGCCTTTGAACTTGCTTTAAGCTCATTAACTTTATAAAGTAAAACATACCCTAAAAATTACATAGCCTGTGTAATACTAGGATGTTGTTTATACCTTTTTTGTGAAATTGGTTTAACTTTGAAAATGCCATACCAAAATACAGAGTGTCTTTTGATTTTTATGTATGTGGTATGATCAAAAAATGTGGTGAAGCTCTGATAATTTCATTTTAAACTTGCATTACAGTAAAAGACATTGCAATAGTTTTCCCCTTGCCTCAGATACGTTTACCCCAATGTTCTTCATTTTCTGAAGCAGTTCTGGAAGTCATCTTTCCTGAGTGGCCTTCGTTGTGCTGTAGTGACTGCTTCTGAGTTCTGAGTCAGTTCAAAACATTAACCTTCTGTGATCACTGTGAGCTTGGGAAGAGCCCGCAGTCACATGATGTCAGGACTAGTGATACAGGACGAAGGCGTACCATATGTTTTCATGAGCCTGCCTTTCCATTGGGTGGCACTCAGCCCCAGCATTCACTGTGATTTTGATCATATAAATACAGGAAAGAGGACTTAAATGCCTTTTTGTAAATCTTACCCTGTTTGCATACTCAGGAAGGAGCTTGTAATATATTGCAGGCTTTTTACCAAGATCAAGATTAATTCTTCCTTGAGTGTGTATCTATTATCTGGTTTTGGATCTCGCCAAATAAACGATGTTTATAGGTGATCTACTAGGACCCAGCTCAAGTGAAAAGACATATTGGGCAACTTCTGAATACAGTATGCTGTGATATAGGGTTTATTTATTTCTAAATATTATTTTTGCCTTTTTTAGAACATAGCTGTTCCTAGCTAATTAATAAAGGAATTAAGTATTTGCCACTAGGTTAAATCCAAAGATGCTTGAAAGGCTGTACATGGTGCAAAGCATCGGACTGAGAAATTAGCCCATCATCTTTCTAAAAGGAGGAACTTCATACTGTTAGTTTTGATTTCTTATGCAGACATACTCTTCTGATTTTTCTTTGCTTTGGTACTAAATTCAACTTGTAATAAAAAGGAAGAGATACAGCATCTCTGTTATGGTGAAGGACTTTCTGAAATTACAGTTTGGGGAGGTAAGTGACAGGGTTTGAACCCCTGATTTTTATGTGTGATTGTCTTTTCTTGGCAGTTGGTGTTCTCCTTGCGTTCCTCTGCATGTGCCTTATTTTCTTACAAGCAGGGTGCAGATTGCCTTACAGGAAGCAAGCAGTCTTGTTGTGTAACCCACATCGCACTCCACCCACCACCCCCTGTGCCAGGAACTTTATAAGAGTTTTTGTTTATTGAGATCAGTCCAGAGTGGACCCTGGCGACCCGCTTCTGCGGACTATGAATCAGGGCTTCTTAGGCACTGTCAGAGTGTCAGTACTGAGCTTACCCTGGCTGTTGGGAGCGCTCATCCTGGGCTAACTAACACTGAGTGGGCAGTTTCACCTTTTTTTTTCTGTCCTGTGGATTGAGGATAACTAACCTGAAAATTTGAAATGCTGAAAAATCTGGAACTTGTTGAGCATAAACTGACATCTTCAGTTGAAGAGCGTATGCCATGAGCCTTGTTT